AATACAATTAATAATAATAATAATAATAATAATAATAATAATAATAATAATAATAATAATAATAATAATAATAATAATAATGATAATATAATAATAATAATAATAATAATAATAATAATAATAATAATAATAATAATAATAATAATAATAATAATAATAATAATAATAATAATAATAATAATAATAATAATAATAGTGTAAAAAATGATAATCCAATTCAGCTTTTATGAAGCGTAGGGATATCTGCTCATACTCCTCATGCAAACAAATTGGCAGGTCTTCCGAACTAAAATCCTTAATGATGGAACCAAACGGGCGCAAATTGATGAGAAATACAACACATTTTAAGAAAAGAAATAAGGATTTAATTGTAAACATTTAATTGTAATAATTGTAAAATAATAATAATAATAATAATAATAATGAGGACGACAATGATAATGACGATGATAGTAGTAATAATAATAATAATAACGACAACAACAATAATAATAATAATAATAATAATAATAATAATAAATAATAATAAATAATAATAATAATAATAATAATATTATTATTAATAATATTATGATGATGATGAGGATGTTGGAGGTGATAGTGATAAGGATGATGCTGAGAATGATGATGAGGATGATTTAACAGTGACACATGCGTTGAATACAAAATATCTCAAACGAACCACAGCAGTAAAAAAATAGCATAGCAGACAAAATAAAATAACAAATTAAGAAACTGAAATTGATAGAATTTTTCACAAAGAAATGTTAAACCATTAAAACATTTCATTAGTTTTGGTTTTTATTATTCGAAATATAAATTTCTTGTTCCCATTTATCAAATGCAAAGACCATTCGATATCTCTAAGTCGTACATCCATCTAAATTATTAATTTTATTAATGAGAGTAATCAATAACTTCCTGGTACAATAATCTGTACTTATGAATAAGACCATGTATAACAAAGCACAATTAGAATAGGATGCGAGTCTGTTTTTAAGCAATATTCGTCGGTACAATATCTTTTTAAGTTTTTTATCAACATGAAATGCATAATATTATCTTCGTCAATTTTACTGCTTAAAAGTACTATTACAGAGTGGGATATCATTTGCACATTGTGGCGTTGAAACTACTTCGGTTTTGTTTTTGATTAGTCATCCATTTTCAGATTTGCATCATTCTAATATAATTATTAAAAGATACATTACTGACTGCTTAAGTAACAGTGGTTGGATGTTTTTAAATGATAATATGAGCGAAGAATTTATCCAACTCAAAATCGTTTAATGTGTTTATCTTCAATAGCCAAAAATGTTTACCCACAGGTTATATGTTCATCACTGTTGTCTGTATGTCTGCCGGTCTGTCTGTCTGGCGGACGTGCAGTCTGTCGGGCTGTCTGTATGGTAGCAGGATTACCCAGCTAATGAATGGATCAATAGAATTTTGTGAAGTGGCAAAGAACAAGTTCAAGGTCACATGAATTTGAAGAAAAAAAATTCTTGAAACTTACCAATCGAGAATAAAAACATGTGAAATCGCCACGCTTCTGTCCCGGTCTGAGATACACATCTAGATGTGTATAAGAGACAGACATGATACTGTAGGAGATGGATTGACTAAACATTTGATGACGTAACCGTATTCGTTATTGTTTCGTAAGCTTGCGAAACCTCCCTATTTACAAACATTAACTTCTTTAAGCAACATCAAGTCATTATACACATGATAGTTCCACTGCAAAAAAAAAAAAAAAAAAAAAAAAACTGTTTACACTCTAACATTATGTTTAATTTTTAAAAAAAAAAGTAC